GACCAAATCTACAAGGAGGCGTGATTATATTTATTTTTTTGGAATTCTGTGTGAAAGTTATAAATTTTTTTTGGTTGGTTATTAATTTCTATTTTTTTGGGGCCCTTAAAATGCCTTAATGGTCTTAAATGTTATATAAACATTTCACTTTCTCCGATCGAATAGGGTTATGTATAAATTTGGTTTTTTATTTACTATTTTAATTAATTAATAAATTGGATCCTTTTTCTATAAATTAAGGAGTACCAATATCTTATTCAATCTTCAATCTGGAATACAATTTAGTCAACATTCCAACTTATATTTTTTTAAGGTAAGGAAAATAGTTTTTGAAATAAAGTAAAATAAATTAAAATAAGTAACTCCAACAATATCGACAATTAACTGAGTTCAAAAATTTAAAGAATAGCGCTTTGATTGATAAATTTTAACTTTAAATTTGATTCCATTAGTGAAAATCAGAAAGGAATTTATATTGACCAAATCTACAAGGGAGGGTGCCTTAAATGCCTTAAATGTCTTAAATGTTATTATAAACACTTTCACTTCTCCGATCGAATAGGTATGAATAATTTGGTTTTTATTTACTATTTTATTAATTAATAAATCGGATTCTTTTTCTATATTAGAGAGTACCAATATCCTATTCAATCTGGAGTACAATTTAGTCAACATTCCAACTTATATTTTTTTTAAGGTAAGGAAAATAGTTTTTGAAATAAAGTAAAATAAATTAAAATAAGTAACTCCAACAATATCGACAATTAACTGAGTTCAAAAATTTAAAGAATAGCGCTTTGATTGATAAATTTTAACTTTAAATTTGATTCCATTAGTGAAAATCAGAAAGGAATTTATATTGACCAAATCTACAAGGAAGGGTGCCTTAAATGCCTTAAATGTCTTAAATGTTATTATAAACACTTTCACTTCTCCGATCGAATAGGTATGTATAATTTGGTTTTTATTTACTATTTTATTAATTAATAAATCGGATTCTTTTTCTATATTAGAAAGTACCAATATCTTATTCAATCTGGAATACAATTTAGTCAACATTCCAACTTATATTTTTTTTAAGGTAAGGAAAATAGTTTTTGAAATAAAGTAAAATAAATTAAAATAAGTAACTCCAACAATATCGACAATTAACTGAGTTCAAAAATTTAAAGAATAGCGCTTTGATTGATAAATTTTAACTTTAAATTTGATTCCATTAGTGAAAATCAGAAAGGAATTTATATTGACCAAATCTACAAGGGAGGGTGCCTTAAATGCCTTAAATGTCTTAAATGTTATTATAAACACTTTCACTTCTCCGATCGAATAGGTATGAATAATTTGGTTTTTATTTACTATTTTATTAATTAATAAATTGGATTCTTTTTCTATATTAGAGAGTACCAATATCTTATTCAATATGGAATACAATTTAGTCAACATTCCAACTTATATTTTTTTTAAGTAAGGAAAATAGTTTTTGAGAATAAAGTAAAATAATTAAAATAAGAACTCCAACAAATATCGACAAATTAACTGAGTTTCCAAAAATTTAAAGAAATAGCGCTTTGATTGATAATTTTAACTTTAAATTTGATTCCATTAGTTGAAAATCAGAAAAGGAATTTATATTGACCAAAATCTACAAGGAAGGGTGCCTTAAATGCCTTAAATGTCTTAAAATGTTATTATACACTTTCCACTTCTACGACGAATAGTATGTATAATTTGGTTTTTTAATTTACTAAATTTTATTATTTAATAAAATCGGATCTTTTTCCTATATTAGAGAGTACCAAATATCTTATTCAATCTTCAATCTGGAATACAATTTAGTCAACATTCCAACTTATATTTTTTTAAGGTAAGGAAAATAGTTTTTGAAATAAAGTAAAATAAATTAAAATAAGTAACTCCAACAATATCGACAATTAACTGAGTTCAAAAATTTAAAGAATAGCGCTTTGATTGATAAATTTTAACTTTAAATTTAATTCCATTAGTGAAAATCAGAAAGGAATTTATATTGACCAAATCTACAAGGAAGGGTGCCTTAAATGCCTTAAATGTCTTAAATGTTATTATAAAAACTGTCACTTCTCCGATCGAATAGGTATGAATAATTTGGTTTTTATTTACTATTTGATTAATTAATAAATCGGATTCTTTTTCTATATTAGAGAGTACCAATATCCTATTCAATCTGGAATACAATTTAGTCAACATTCCAACTTATATTTTTTTAAGGTAAGGAAAATAGTTTTTGAAATAAAGTAAAATAAATTAAAATAAGTAACTCCAACAATATCGACAATTAACTGAGTTCAAAAATTTAAAGAATAGCGCTTTGATTGATAAATTTTAACTTTAAATTTGATTCCATTAGTGAAAATCAGAAAGGAATTTATATTGACCAAATCTACAAGGAAGGGTGCCTTAAATGCCTTAAATGTCTTAAATGTTATTATAAACACTTTCACTTCTCCGATCGAATAGGTATGTATAATTTGGTTTTTATTTACTATTTTATTAATTAATAAATCGGATTCTTTTTCTATATTAGAGAGTACCAATATCTTATTCAATCTGGAATACAATTTAGTCAACATTCCAACTTATATTTTTTTTAAGGTAAGGAAAATAGTTTTTGAAATAAAGTAAAATAAATTAAAATAAGTAACTCCAACAATATCGACAATTAACTGAGTTCAAAAATTTAAAGAATAGCGCTTTGATTGATAAATTTTAACTTTAAATTTGATTCCCTTAGTGAAAATCAGAAAGGAATTTATATTGACCAAATCTACAAGGAAGGGTGCCTTAAATGCCTTAAATGTCTTAAATGTTATTATAAACACTTTCACTTCTCCGATCGAATAGGTATGTATAATTTGGTTTTTATTTACTATTTTATTAATTAATAAATCGGATTCTTTTTCTATATTAGAGAGTACCAATATCTTATTCAATCTGGAATACAATTTAGTCAACATTCCAACTTATATTTTTTTTAAGGTAAGGAAAATAGTTTTTGAAATAAAGTAAAATAAATTAAAATAAGTAACTCCAACAATATCGACAATTAACTGAGTTCAAAAATTTAAAGAATAGCGCTTTGATTGATAAATTTTAACTTTAAATTTGATTCCATTAGTGAAAATCAGAAAAGGAATTTATATTGACCAAATCTACA